TCCAGTCAAAACGGATTAGTGTTGTTTTGGTCGCAGTTGTAATGTTGCAGCGCAGTATTTTCAATTTTTTGATAGACTTTTAAATTTAATACAGATTTTCTCAGGAAGTGTCGAAGTTCCGCTTTCAATTTGACAATTTCCGGTTTTTCTTACTTTACGCCTGAAATGATACTACTTCTGTTATGAAAAAAAAAATAATTGCTTCATGATACATATGGCTGACTGTTTATAAACAGACTGTGAGAAATGAGTGAGTGTACGACAAGCAAATTTAACCAGTGTCCATTTTCCTAGTTCCTACTCGGTACCGGTTTTAGTAACATCCCACCAAGACTCTTATCAACTATTTACTTATTTATTTCCTGCCTTTAATATTCAGTCATTGTTCAGCTCAAAGAAAAGTGTTGGGGGAGGGTGAAGATGTGACTTTCCTTTGCGAGTCAATCATATCAACAGCAATGTCGTGAATCTGATTGGTCCTCCGTATTATTTTTCCCCTAATTGTTTGCGCACGAACATCATCCGACAGCAGCTGAGTCGCTTCTAACTTCCTCTTTCTGGGCCCGAGTTGCCATTAACTTTTCAGGTTTGTAGAATTGATGTACAATTTAGGTTTGGAGTGATCATGAAGTCGCCAATAAATCCAATCATCTACTGAAAGCGTTCAGTTCAAAAAATGATCGTTGTTTTATTCGCGCGTCAGTCGCATAACTTGTTAACTCAAATTACTATTCCTTATTCGGACGCGTTTTCCAGTGTTTACATAACCACTTTCATTCCGTAAATAAATTTGCAATTGAGAATCAATTGAATTTCAGTGTGACAGCAATCGCCGTTCATCTGCGTCAAATTTCTTACTGTTTTCGTAATGTACTGCAAACAGTACCGTTAATGAGGTAATGAGTGAAGTTCACACAGGTAATCACTAAGCTTTCTTCAAACTGCACGCACCAAATACTTATTACAGTCGACGCGTATTGCAACCTTGACGAGACATTGTGGAGAAAGAATCGCTAGAAGATAAATTATCCTAGGGAAAACTCTCCTGGACGATCAGGTAAAGTTTGTTTCTTTTTCCGTGTAAATTAATTTTTATACTCAAATCGAAGCTTTAACAGTGAAACGAAATTTATAGTACAAAGTCATTACAGTATATTTCTCGATCTCTTTAAACTGGCAAGCAAAAAGCAATTAAAAAAAGCGCTTAGGTGCTTTCGCGAAGGAAGTTAATGCACTCAATATTGCGCCGGGAATAACAAAATCATGCCGAAAAATTATTGCCATAATAATGAATCGCTCAGAAAACTAAGTTTTGATTTGCTTCATTCCAAACGACAAAACATTTACGTATTTTCTTACAATAAGCAAGGATATAAAGTGGACAAAATGCTTTGAGAAAATGGCATATAAGTTAAAGATAAACAGATGGCGAATTCTGGCCTGAGGCTGGTGTAAGGCGGGGAGCATAAAGTTAATCTTCCTCTGTTTATCAATATTGATTATCTGTTCAGATCGCCCACTCACCTGCTGGCTGGATGATTTAATTTCAATATTCTGTTTTTGAGCTCAAAATATTCTTATGTACCGTGTTAACGTTTGGCTAAATTCTAATATCTCAGTGTCGAACATTTCTTTCGACATTTGGCTTCGAGCGCACAGATGCCTAATGATGTTCATAATAAAATCATATCAGAAAGTGCCCATGGAATAACTGAGCTGCCAATTTCAATTTTGATAATTTTACCATTTTTAACTCTGCGGGGAGTATGCATTCGATAGGAAATAAATATTACTCTCCATGATAGCAATTAAACCATAGAATTAAATCATCATTGCAATGTTCCTGCCCTGTTTTTCTCTCGGGTTTTCATTATCAGCAAGCTGCTGCTCAGTAAGACATCACGTTTTACTGCTAAAAGATCACAAACATTAAAAACTGGAAACTTATGGATTCCTTGAAGGTATGACATGAATTGAACATTGCTTGACTTAAAGTGAAATTTAAATAATAGCTTGTTTTTAAATTAATTGAAGTAATCTAAGGAGAGACAACTTGAGAGAAAAATGAAAAAGAGCTTGGCCATTCACTAGTTACTTAGTTATCGTACTGTCCTGTAAGCTCGACCGCGTACATGGTCATGGCGCTTGAATTTTCATATGGGGGTTTATTTTCTTTTTGTTTTGAACTTTATTATTTTGTATTTTAATGTATTTTAATAAATAAATTACATGGATACTAGTTTATGATGACATACTACCAAATACAGACTGCATACTAGATGGACTATACAGTCTTATAAGCTGCGTCACTGTCTTCTCGCTTTTCTGAGTGTTTCAGTGAACATGGTGTTCATTCAAACCGAGGAACATTGGTTATGAAATGAACAATTACAGTTCTTGTGTCTCGGATACATCGAATTAACAAACAATTTGGGAACAGACCTTTCCCTGGAACATAGTTTGGGGCGCGTGTACGGGTCAGTAGGTCATCTGTCATATGCTCAACGAATCTTCGCTTAAATCGAAAACGTTTCTCAGAAATTTTACAAGGGTTGAACGAGACATGACCAAGTAAATGCAATTATTTCCTGGTTCAAGACGAATGATAATATTAGTCAAGTTGTTTGACAGGAAGGATAAAAACCCTGATATTACGTTCTATCAGTAACGCTTACAGCAAACATTGATTGAATGAAACCTCGACGAACAGTTTACACAGAGGAACAAGTTTGTTTAATATAAATGTGAGTTGCAGTATTGTTTGTACCTGAGACTGAAATGTCGGCAATCACAAAAAACTTGAGTACCAATACTGCCCGTATTGCCCAACTATACGTCGTAAAATCATTCATTGTCTTTGAGCTCCTTTGGTATCAGTGATTTCAGCGCTTTAAAGTGTATTTTTCCAGAACTTGGCTGGTATGTAAATAAAACATCGATTATGCAT